GCACGCGCGCCGCGGGGTGGGGGCGGGGCCTGGGCCGCACGGGTCCGGCCTCTCCCTGGGCCCGCGTGCCCCGCAAAATGGCGCACGCGTGCCGGGGGCTGCGGATCCTGCCCTGGGCTCGGTCTGGCGAGGACACGGTTAGTGACTGAACTGCAGCCATGTCACTTCCAGCCTGTGGCGTGACCGCCCTTCGCCTGGCTGGGACGTGCTGACAGGCTTCACGTCAGGTTCGTGCCTGCACGATTTGCAGGATAATGTAGGCTTGAGCCCTGGGTATCCTTTACCGACTCTGTAAGACGCTGTTTTTCTTGTTCCCGACGCTTTGAAGAGGAGTAATCTGGGGACCAGCCTGGCAGGCATCACTTGGACAAAATCGTTGTTGCACCTTTTGGTGTCTCTTGCCTGAAGTAAGGACTTTGGGTTCAGGTCTGATTTGTGACCAGATTCAACAGCACCTTGCAGGCCACTTCGGATGTGTAGGCACAATTACAAGGATATTTGTCTTGAACACTGTTTTACTTTAATGAGTTTTCCTCATCGCTGTAGTTTGAACGAAGTATAAGTACGCTTCTTTGAATGTCTCAAATGGAAATTTCTCAAATCCTCTGGCAGTACACATACTTATCTTTGCTTTTTTTAGAAGTTATCTTCATTTATTGGGCAGAGCACTTTCAGTCTCAGCTGGTCTTTCCCACCTGCATTAAAAAAACAACAGTTCTTTGTTGAAAGCAAGTGAAGATTGGATTTACTGTCACATGAGAGAGAAAGATAGCTGCTTCTGCTTTTTAGAGAACAAGTACAGATTGTGAAGCCTTCGCTGTTGTGTTACTTTGTTCATGGAATTAAGTCGGAGGTTCACTAAAAGACTTTTGTATCAGTTGGGGAAGTTAATCACAATTTATGTGAACAAATGAAATAGTGTGTTTCTGTCTCTCTCTCTTAGTAGGGCAGTTTTTTCTGTCTTGTATACATCTTCATGCATTTGAAACAGTGGACATGAAATTACAGTTGCAGTTTATTTTAATTAATTTAAAGTATCTGAGATATTAACACCTAGATTTCTGCATCTGTATCATTTTACGGACCCAAGTCTTATTCGGGAAGAGCTCCCACTGCCATCAGAGGAGAGCTGTGGCTGAAGAAGGAAGGAATGTGAAAATTGCCCCCCTCTGCTAGGGAGCTTGATATATTTGGGTCTCCCTTCTTGGTAGGGTCTGTTACGGAAATGCAAGTAACAAATAATCTGTCTTTCACTTTTAATGAAGGATTGACAAGTTATTTTTATTAGGGTGTGTTTCTTTTTGTGTACAAATTTGGTGCACAGCAAGACACTATTTCATCTGGTTTCAGTTGTTTTTACAGAGTATTTTTTTTCTTCTTTTCTCGAGGTCTGTTTTACAGTTTTAGAGCTTACTATATGATTTTTGCCATGACCTTTGCATTATTTTTAGGAAAATGTGTATATCCATTAGGAAAGCATTAGAGTTTTCCTAACTGCCTAAAAATGTTATTTCATAAATTACTATAGTATGTAAGCCAGAAAATTGTTCAATTACTGGATTAACAAGATACTGCAAAAGAGATGTTTGCCGCATCTACAGTTATCACACTTTCAAGATACTTCGGTATCTGATCTCCCCGCTGGTTCAGAATGGGCCTTTTTTCCACAAATTAAAATGATATGACTATTTGGGTTGATTTATTGTATTGAAAATGTAGAACCCAGCCATTTCTGATAGTGCCCATATCAAAAATCATAATTTAGTACATTTTGAGGATGTTGCTTGAAAGAAAATGCATTTAGTGTTGTTCATCTGCTTGTGACATTTCTGCATTGAACAGGAAAATGTTATTTCCTGTCCCTAGATACTTTTATTTCCTTTGTGTCTACAATAAAAGGGGAAAAATTCTGTAACATTTGATCAGTGCTTTTTTAGGCCAACAAAAACTTCTGATCCTCCACTTTGTCAGTCTTGGATACATGTTGTTGCCCAAAAGAGACGCTCTTATTATTTTTAATCACAGGACGGATAATCTATGAAGTGCCTGTCATGTCTGCCAATAAATCATGCAAGTCAGTGTAAATTAGTGAACTGTTACTGGCATAACTATATATTTTAGTAGGTGAAGTTGTGTATATTAGTAGGCGAAGTTGTGTTTAGTAGGTTAAGTTGTTACTCTTGGAAAATCAAGAGTAACAAGTATAGAGCAATTTATCTGTGTATTTGAATTAAGTCCTTTTTCTTTTGTGCGAATGTCTGGGGGGGGGGGAGTTAAGCTTATTTTTAAACTGTCTGCTTAATTGAATTTTAAGTGGTGAATTCTTTTAAAAGGAAAGTTTTACTCCTTTTTAAAGAACTAAATTCTAGAAAATCTCATGGGATTGCATGTTTTGGCTAAGCGTGATTTTTCTGGTGATTTAGCAGGTAGCTTAGTAGGATCAGGAAACCCTCCAGACTGCTCATTTGTAGTTCAGTGCCTGGAAATGTTTTTCATTGTTGTCAGTAATCATAGGCAGCTACTTTACTGAAGGTGAAAATCATATAGGCCATAGATTATGTTTTAATTTTACAGTTAGGAACTGGCTTCATGTATTGTCATAAATATGGTTGATTAGAAGTTGTTAGTATTTCAGAAAGCAAAGTTGAATTTACTCCAGCCTTACTATCATGACTTCCGTTTCTGGTTGAAACAGTTTTGTGTTTTTTAAATCAGTTGCTTGAAGCTTTTCCTTGCACGGTGGCTTAGAAGCAGTATGGCTATGGCACTTTATATAGTAGTACTAGCTCTTTGAGAACATGGAAGTTGCTAAACACTATCTGTTTTTTCTGTTATAAATTGTCTTAAATGCATGAGAAACTGCAGCCTTCATTTATCACTCTGAAATCTGAAATTTTTGTGGACAGGGTGGAGGGGTTAGCTTTAATTTGAAGTACTATTTTACAAAGAGGCCTTTCTTCCTCATTGATTCTTCAGTTCTTATACAGATTTTAAGTAAATATGCCTCAAAACAGTTATGCTCCAAATACCAGGGTAGCAAATTGTTCACAGTAATGCTTAAGTGGTTTGCTGCAGCCAGTTGAAATTAATGTTTTAGTAAATTATATTGTGAAGAGAAAAAAAAGTGTATTGTGGTACAAGATTAAAGAATGTAATAGTATTATACTTTAATTTTAATTAGTGACAATCACATTTGTTTCCCCCCCCTTGCCCCTCCTTTACTGTAGTCGTGACATGGAGAATAAAGAAACCCTCAGGGGGTTGCAGAAAATGGATGACCGCCCAGAAGAGCGCATGATCAGGGAGAAACTCAAGGCAACTTGCATGCCAGCTTGGAAGCATGAATGGCTGGAAAAGAGAAGTAGGAGAGGCCCTGTGGTAAGTTATGTCCATGAAGAATCATAATCACTTAACTAATTTCTGCTTGTAATGTGCAGTTATTGAAAGTGAGGACATGGGCAAATAACTCTTAGTGCTTGAAACCCTAATACTGTAATTATCATCACTAATCCCTCACTTGCCTCTCTGAATTAATTGAAGACTTATTCCTAACTTTAAAACTGGCAGGTTTGTAATATGTTTGGTGCTTAGAAGGTCAAATAGTTCAACAGACAACTGTTTTGCATAAAACTATTATTGTGACAACACTGCCCTCTAATGTTGACATCTGAAATCTCTACATCTATTGGCTAAAGTTTAAAACTCTTTTTTCTCTTCCTTTCCTCAGTCAAAAGACCACCAAAATATTACAAAACAGAATCCTAAGATTTGTTGTAAATTAACCTTTTTCCATATCTGTTTTGTACCTGTACTGGAAAGAAACATGATAAACTTCATGCTTAAAAAAAAAAAAAGTAGAAAGAACATTATCGTATGCTCCCTGCTCTCTTCTGGGGCTTGTGGCATCCTAATTCAAACATTTAAAAAAGGAAAAAAAACACCTTGGGTGTTATGTCTCCTCATATAGCCTTGAAGTATGGAAGTATTCAAGAAAAAACAAACCATCACAGGCTTAGAAGAATCAGAAACTGCGTGCGTGCGTGCGCGCTGCTTCACATAACGCATCCACTTGCCTTTATCTCTACTGGATTTAGGATGTGAGCATGTTTTTGTACTTGGTCCTTTTTGCTAATATTGGAATAAACTATAAGAATAACTTCAAGAAGTACATTGGAAGTCTGTTTAATTAGGTTTTTCCAACAAACAGGAGAGGTAGAGTTCACAGAGTGCAGTGTAATTCTTGTCAGCCATTGACATTTACTTCTAGTATCTTATGAACTAAAGAGGCTAAAAGGATGCTCTCTTTGGAACTTAGAAGAACTTGAGTTGAAGGTGTTACTTGTCATAGCTGAACCCAAGCACTTGTGTGCTTACTTGAACATAAAACTGGACTAGTAAAAATAAGTTGCATTTATCTGTCATTTGACTCTTAAGGGAAAGAACACATCCTGAACAATCCATGATTAAAAGGAAAATCCCACTGCTCCCTAATGAGAGCTCTAACTGTTCTTTATGATACTGGTAAAGCATTAAGTACTAATAATATCATTGAGGACTACCCAAGAGTTCCCATGTCAAGGGATTCTGTCAAGTAGTTACTTGGATAATCTATAGGTGTTATATAATTATGTTTTTAAAACAGACTTCATTAGGACATGTTATGAACAATTTTCTGTGGGGCAAAAGGTGTTGGGGTTTACTGCACATCAGCTGCTTGACAGTGACTGCCCTCATGCGCATCTTTTACCCTGTTGCAGGTAAATGTCAACTTTATCATACCCCTTCTTTTACTGAGGGTAAAAGTTACTGTGGCTTAGCTTCAAATTAACTCAGTGTAAGGACTTGTCTATTGCACTTACTGGAGAGTAGCTGATGCATAGTAAGCTTCTCCTCCCCTTCTGCCCTTCCTTTTTGTCCTCTGGTAAATTATTGATATGCCCATACCCTTTGTATATTATTTGCTTACATATTTAGAAGGTGGTCGTTTTAGATGCTATAAACCATGTGGTTTATTTCTTCTAAGGTGGTAAAACCAATCCCAGTGAAAGGAGACTGCCCTGAAACCAGCAAACTATTGCTAGAACCGCAAGCTGAAGGGCAAAGTACTGCTTCTTCACCCACCCAGAAAGGGAGGCGAAGCCCTTCTCCTAGTAGCTCCTCATCATCATCATCTAGAACTGTTAAATCTGAATCACCGGGTGTCAGAAGGAAAAGGGTCTCTCCAGTGCCTGTAAGCTGATTTACTGTTTGGTAATGATGGTTTGGGCTTTATTTTGGAAAGCCATTATATCTGGGAGAGGGGGAATAGTGTTGTCCATATATCAGAATTGGGCATGTAGAAATAGCTTTTGTTGACTAGTTTGAAAGAAAGATGAGTGTTTTGAAGAGATTTCCCCTTTACTTGGGATACCGTGCATATTTTGTTATCTTGTATAGGTATTATTGTTGTACATATTAGGAAAGTAAATGTGCAGTTTGAAATTCCATGCTTGAATTAGTTTTCTAGTTTTTAGAACGCACAACCCTGAATCAAGCTGTTAAATAACTGAATCGTTGTGGTGGGTGTTACATTGTAGTACTGCTATAAGAAGTGGTCCAAGTTTTTTCTTAATGTTTGAGTAAATGTTCAGTATTGGGAAGACTTAGAGATACAAGTATCTAGGTAGTGTGATGTGCAAAGAAGCTGGAGTTTGCTTTCTTCAATGTCTTTATTAGAGTCAGTTATTAACAGAGAGCTACTGGTACTGGGCTACAATTCCTGTAAGGGCTCACTGGGGAGGGGGGAAATGGGCATGAAGAGGAGCAGCAAACATGGCAGTTGCCCCTGCCTCTCGCTGCTTATTGGCTGAGAAGGTTGTCTGTTTTGCGGCCCCAGCCCTTCTGCCAATCACCGGTGAGAGCCAAGGCTGTGAGACAAATAGGTGTCTTGGCCAATCGAAAGGCATGGGCTGGACCCACCATGATAAGCCCACGAAAGTGGTGGCCGGCCCCACAATCTGCCTGCAAAATCGGCTGCCTGCCTCCTTGATTTGGGTAGGTCCCTATTTATACAAGACATACTTTACCATTGGCTTCCCGGTAAAGGAGAAATGAATCTTCACAGGCCTTCAACATCTGTCACCATTCAGAAAGACATCAGAACTTAAAGCTAAGCTGAAAAGGCCTAGAGCAGGGGTGTCTTAACTCACCTACACCCCAGGCCTGATACAGACCAGGGGGTGGCAGCAGCAGCAGGAAAAGTGGCATCGACGAGCTGTTCAGGTTAATGCAACTGTTGCTCACCCGTTGCCACTGATATGCACCCCCGGCAGGGCTCTACCCTGCCCCTGCTTGCTTCAGCCCCTCTAGGAGCCCTTTAGGCTGCATGTTGGACACCCCTGCTCTAGGCCTTTCCATCTTATTGTACAATATTATCTACTCTTTTTATTATTGTGGCTTCCTGAAGCAGTCCCCTAGGTTTTGGCTAAGTTTTTCAAAAGTTAGAGTTTAGCCTCTTAAATAGGTGAAAAGTCTGGAAGTCGAGCCACTTATTTAGGAGTCTAAACTAGGAGCCACAAGCTTAGCTTGTGGATCCACAAGCATTAAGGGAGAATATAAATTAACATTAATTTTCAGTTGCATGATTTCTATCAATGTATGTAGAAACTTAAAATAAGCTCACATGTAAATTGTCTATACATCCCTTCATTTGTTTTACATTAGAACATTGCTTATATTCTGAAAATGAAAACTTCACTAAATAGGGAACTGAAATCTGCCCACTCCAAAGAACTGAGGCTCACAACAGATCTGGAAGTAGTCTACACTAAAATACTGATTCCAGCTAGCTTTTGTAGTGTGGTGCCGGAGAGCAAGATAATTTGCTGTGTTGGGACACAAAGCCATTTAGATGCAGTACCACATAAATGCAGCTCTTTATGGTTGAGAAAGTAGCCTGTACCGAACTAGCTCAAGTAACTACACTTCATTCGCTTGTGTTGGCATATGCCAGTACCATGCAGTTATCCAAGCTGGCTTAACTTCTTCCCAAGACCATTTTTCTAAAACCAGGTGAAACTCAAGTCTACTTTCACATCAACAATCAAAAACTTTAAGAAAAATAATAACAAGCCACTGGATTTTTCCTTCCTCTGGCAGTATTTTGATAACAATTTTATATAAGCATTTCTTAGTAAAGAAAGAACTTTTGTTGCAGTTTCAGAGCGGGCGAATAACACCACCTCGAAGAGCCCCATCTCCTGATGGCTTCTCACCGTATAGCCCTGAGGAAACAAATCGTCGTGTTAACAAAGTTATGCGAGCCAGACTGTACCTGTTGCAGCAGATAGGACCCAACTCTTTCTTAATTGGAGGAGACAGCCCAGATAATAAATATAGAGTATTTATTGGGCCTCAGGTAGGAATTGTCCACAAAGCCTGCGATTTTTTTTTTTTTTTTTTTTTTAAAGAAGCATTTGAAATTTTTGCAGAACAAGGTTGGATGAAGTTTCAGGATTCACAGTTCTAAGCGTTATATTTAAGTACTGTAGCATTTAAAATGGGGGTGTCCAACCTTTTTGAATGTGGGGCCAGATCATGCACTTTTTATCACCCAGTGGGCCAGCAAGCCATATTCAAACACCCTCTGTCCTGGACGAGAGAGACCCTGCCTGTGTAGCCCTACTGCACCTGCCTGTTACTGCAGGGTTCGTGGTAGCTGCTGGTGGGCAGGAGCAGGAGGGATCCATTCTGCATCCAGCCAGCTACTGCCCCAGAGACTGAAGGGGAAAAATAAATAGCTCCACATCTCCATCCCCTGAGCAGTGCAGCCTCACCTGCCTGAGGGGGGCTGGAGCAAGGCAGCCACTGCACTGCAGCCCCTCACCCACCTGCCCGCATGGTCCTACTCACCGTGGTGCCCAGCCACCTGCACACGCAGCCCCGATGGCCTCAGCGCTGCAAGCCCAGAGCGCGGGGTCTGGCAGACACTGGCTCCTGCCACCTCACCCCACAGAGGTCATGCCAGGACCCCGCCTGCCAAGCCTCCCCGTGCTGGCTTCCCATGTGCTACTGGGGACAGGAGGAGGCTGGCCAGGTCAGCACCAGCCAGCAGAAGCAGCAGCAGAGCCATGTGCTGCTGGGAACTGACTGGTGCAGGCAGGGGGTGGAAATGCAGCTGAGCCCCTGCTGCTCTGGCCGGGCTCATCCCATCCCAAGCGGCACATAGCTCTGCCACCGCTTTTGCTGGCCGGTGCAGACCCGGCCGGCCGCCTCTCATCCCCGGCAGCTTGTGGGAAGCTGGCTTCAGCCACATGCTGCTCCAGATGGGAGAGACCTGCCCAAGTCGGCACCAGCCAGCAGAGGCGGTGGCGGAGCCATGTGCCGCTCAGGACTGACTGGTGCAGGTAGGGGGAAAGTGCATCTGAGCCCCTGCTGCTCCAGCTGGGCTCGTCTTGTCCCAAGAAGCACATGGCTACTCCTCTTCCCACACGCACTGCGTTGGCAACGTAAAGCTGATGCGGTGCATGTGGGAACCTTGTCCCTTCCCCAGCCCTTCAGCAACCATTAGGAAGTTGTTGAGGGGCTGGGGGAGGGACAAGGGGTGGGAATGAAAGTAAGCAGTGTTTACTTCCATTTCCCATTGCAGCCCCGCAGGCCTCAGAAAATGCCTTGGTGGGCCGCATTTTGGACAAGCCTGATTTAAAAGGTACTGGGTGTGTTTACATGTTTATTAATGTGCCTTGAATATGGTGCATTAAGTTTAGTGCCTGTAATAACAGATACTAACTTAATACTGTAATAGGCGCTACTGTGCATTAGTGCAAATGAACACTTTTTTGGTGACGCTTAATGTTCATTGGACTAAGTCTACTGCACATGAGGATGATTTTTGCTAGCTGCACTAATGCGCAGTAAAATTAGTCCAATGGACATTAAGCGTCTAATGTGCATATGTGATTATCAAAGTTTGTATTTTGCCAAATATATTGCAAACATATGACTGGAGCAAGCGCTTCTCTTTTAAAGTTACTTAAATTCATTGAGGAATCATTACCAATGAACAGATTTAGTTTACTGAAATCCCTGTTTGTGCTACTTCAGTGTATGTGATGTTTAATAATTTGGCTGAAATTTTTTGTTACACTCACTTCCCACTACAATGAGCATTTTTAATCTCTTGTGTCTATGGAACACTATACACAAGTTGTTAGGTTTTTTTTTCTTGGCATTTATTTAACAGTCATACGTGAAAGCTCTTTAAATGGTCTCATGGTAACATTAATACTCATTGAGTTCTCTTCACAGACCTTTCTAATACTGGTCTTGATTTTCTTTTGGAAACAACTGGACTTTGGTGCCCTTAGAACTGTGTACCAAAGTCTGGCTAAACATTCTTTCATTGCTGTTCTACTCCTGATGTATAATGCCCATATGTCTAGCTTCTTTTCATCTGAAGAGTAACAGTAGCCTCTGAGAGAAGAAAAAATATGATGGAAAATACCATTATTATTTGCTTTTTCACACACGTACACATATGCATTATATTATAAATAAAATCCGTGTGTGTTGGTGAATAATAGGAATCCAAGTCACATTTCAGAAATTTTATTCTTTTTTGTAAAAAATATTTCTTTTACCTGGGCCTGTGGCCATATGAAAATCCATATAATTTCAAACTAGATATTAGCAGTGTCTGGGTAAACTATCAGGCAGTTTATACGCCTAAATGAAGAAGAGAAATACGTAAGGATTAAGTCAGAGTAGAGCCCTAAACCTACTATATGTTTCTTTGTAGACCTGTAGTTGTGGGCGTGGAACATTTTGTATTCATCTGCTGTTTGTCATGCTTCGAGTGTTCCAGCTTGAACCGTCAGATCCAATGCTGTGGAGAAAGACATTAAAGAATTTTGAGGTAATGTATTTTTCATGTATTCCTCCAATGGCAAATTGGGATACGTTTCAAATAATGGTATTTTCAGGGCAAGATTGTAATAGTGCCATAATTTTTTTCTGAATTCTGAAAAAACAAATACAAGATGTTAATTTAGCAGGTTACTGTGTACTAACTTCAAAAATTATGTAAATAGTAGACACATTTTCTGCAGTTAGAAAGGAGCAGCTGAAAGTAGCAATAGAGAGCTTAAGTTAAATGAATACAGCATAATCTTTCATTTCCACCTAAATTGATACTGCATCAACATCTACTGTGCATCATTTATCTGTTGTCTGAGGACTAAGTTGTTTATTAAACAGACAGGGATTTTCCAGACAATTTTTATGCTACTAAATAAACAGTAAATAAAATCAATAGACCGTTTTATTATAAATTAGTATAATCCTTTAAAGCCATCTTATTGAGGCTTTTTCTGAAATCCCTGCTCCTACTACAATTTAATGATAATGTATTATAAACATGTAGGTGAATAGTTTGTTTGTTTTTTAGTAATGTTTAAACTTCAGAAAGTTCACTTCGTAATGCGAGATACTCATAGCATAAATGCTATTACTGTCTTTTCCTAATGTTAGGTTGAGAGTTTGTTCCAGAAGTATCACAGTAGGCGTAGCTCAAGGATCAAAGCTCCATCTCGTAACACCATCCAGAAGTTTGTCTCACGCATGTCAAATTCTCATACATTGTCATCATCTAGTACTTCCACATCTAGTTCAGAAAACAGGTTAGTACTTTTCTCAAGGCTTTAAAAGTTTTTTGGGTTTTTTTTCTTTACATGGTTTTACTTTGGTCTGAAGGTTTAGGTACCCCTACAATTTATTTCTTTGTTTAAGGCTGCTTCCATTTCAAGCCATATTAAATTTTTACATATATGCAGCCAATCAAGATTCCAGCATGTATCACAATCATCTTGGTACCAATGTGGGCATAATCTGTGTACAACACTCAATTAGATATTATTATTTGTGCCTGTTGTGTTTCCTTAGAGTTTTTTTAATTATTATTCGGTTTCAGCTGTTTTCAGACTGGTATAGATTTTAACTGTGGAAACTCATGTGATGCACGTGTGAATATATGTATGCATGTTGTATATGAACAAAGTAGATATTTGATCTCACTTTTTTCCTGCACAAGTACTTTTGAAAGTGAGCTGAATTTTTAGGGAGCAACACTGATGTGCCTCTGGGAATATGCTGAAAAGCGTTGAGTGATGAAAGCTACTTTGTATGACACTACAGGAGAACCAATGCTTTTTATGTTGAACTGTGTGAGAAATGGAGTTGATGATGGCAACAATGAAATGACCAATTGGAAAGACTTACCACAGTTCTTTTCAGCATCTACATGAATGACTGGCTAATCTGTGCTGACAATCTGTGTATTGCTATAAGGATTTTCCTTAGAGTGAAGCTTTATTAACATTTACACTGCCTGGACTTTTAGTTTGTTATACTACGGACTGACTAACCACCAAACCAGCTAAAACGCAAGCACATTTTTTTTTTTTTCCACTTCTGGAACCTTGAGTCCATTTGACAACTCAGCCTCATCTAGAATGGGATACCATTTGCCCATTGCTGGAAGCCTGTCTACCTTGAAATGATGGACTTCAATCTCTCCTTCAAGATGCATATGGAGAAGACAGGAGGCAAAGTTAGCACCTAGAAAACTATATTTGGGAACCTTGCATTTTCAGATTGGGAAGCCACTTGGCAATATGGCAAGCTGTTGCACTTGTATTTTGTTATTCAGTGACCCAAATATGCATGTCTGTTATGGGAAAGATTGGCTCATACAAAAAAGCTGGACTCTGTTGCTGAATGTCAGCTGCCTGTGTATTAAAGAATGTCTGAGACCAACAAATGTGAACAAAACCTGTATGTGAATGCCAGAATGACTCCACTGAACACTTAGAATCGTTAGTGTCTTGCAGGATTGGCAATGTGGTACACACAACCTGATACAGTCAAGTGTCAGAATATGCACTGATGTTGCCAAATGTTTCCTCACAGTCTTTGGACCATGAATTGACACTTCAGGAGACAAGTGTGGAAGTGGGGCTACTCTTAATGACTTAGACACGTCACTATGGTGAAACTGCAAATCTCAAAACATCTGATGCTCCTGGAGGAACTATGCACTATTGAAAACCTAACCAGAACTACCAGCTGGGCCATATTATGTGCCTAATACTGGAAAAAACTATCATTTTGATGATAAGAAGGAAAACATTTTTTAAAACCCTATCGTTTGTCCCAGAAGGGTTTAAAAGTATGTAGGCACATACAATTTATCACGCAAATGTACTGTTATTTTTGGTATATTTATAAAATTATTAAAGAGCAATATATCAACCATTTTCAAAATATATTGGTCAATGTAATTCAGTCCAGTAATACATTCTCTGTAGAATCTATAGGTATTGGTTTAAAATCAAAGTAATAGTTCATTGAGAGCAAATAAAATGAACATCCACGTACAATGTAGCTGATCAGATTTGGTTGTTTTGAATCTGACTGGTAATCTTGATTGTATTGTATCATCCTCCTTTGCAACAGCATTTGCACCTATCTATGCAAAATATATGGTAGATGCATTCATTTTACATTTGCTCTTAGAATTTTACACTTGTTCATTTAAATAATATACAGCACTTGCCATGGGGGTCTAAAGGAAACTTGTAAACAGACATTCAGATAGAGGTGTGGCAAAGAAGAAACTTCCAAGATTGAATGCTGAATGTAATAAAGTTGATTTATTTCAGCCAGAATTTGTAAGCTACAAGGTGCATTAAATTAAGCATCCAAATCTATGAGTATATTTAGATGTCTTGTCTGACTTTTCAAAATGCCCAAGTACTTTACAGCTCTTGTTCTTAACACAAGTTACTGAGTGCTCAGCACTTCTGAAAATCAGGCCACTGAGTAGGCTTCCAAATCTCAGCCTTTAATATTTTAATAAAATTCATGTCATATTTACAAATCAAGGCAACCTAAAATTGTTGGTATTTATGTATTCAACCTAAAGGTCGTTTGGATCAAGCTACATACATTTTCTTTAAACTCACTTATATCTGTCTTTTTCAGTATGAAGGATGAAGAAGAACAGATGTGCCCCATTTGTTTGCTAGGCATGCTGGATGAAGAAAGTCTGACAGTGTGTGAAGATGGCTGTAGAAACAAGTTACATCACCATTGCATGTCTATCTGTATGTCATTGTTTTATATATATTCATTACTGATGGCCCAAAATACAGAAATGGTTTTGAAATAGAGCAGGTTAATTGCATCCCAGCAAATGGGTGAGAAGAAAAAGGCAGGCATCGAAGCTAAACAATTTTATTTTAAACTTGTAGAGACCTGAAAAAAGAATGCCAGGCTCTGTTTTATTGTGATGCTTGTGTAGAGCACTTCAGTGAAATCCTATCACATTAGTTGGTATTAATAAGAAAATCTGGTTACTGTAAATAAAGCATGTTGCCCCAGGAGACAGAGTACAATGAAAGTATGGAGGGAGCAGATTTCTAAGGAAGCATCTTCTGTAATGTGGTTAAATAGTACTTAGATACTAAATCATGTGCATGTTTGGAAGAAAATATTAAATTACCATATCTTAACAAGAGCTCTAGACAGAAAGTGTATGTATGTAGAATCCCATTATTTAAATGTTATTGTGTGCAATACAATACATTTTACAAAAACATCTTTTTAATTCAAAGAGCTAGGTAAGTTACATTTTAGGGAAAGTGTTGCTTAAACTAAAATATTGTTAAGCAAGTGAGATCTGGTATGGAATCAGAAATTAATAGTTCCTGAAATTATTAGTAATAGAATATGGTTTGTCACCAAGTCATAAATTGTACTTGGTAACCTGATGCCCTTGAGTTTATCAGTATTGATCATACTTAAAATCTAAGTCTGGGCTTTTACTACCCAAGTTAAAAGATCCAGACCTGTTAGCTCAAAGTCAGCAGTAGATACTTAAACTTCTGGGCTCTAGACTCATTAAAATAGATAAGAATATGCTGTTTGACCCTGGGGTATACAACATGCAGCTATTCCTCCCTTAATGTCATATTTACATTCTTGAAAAATGTAACTAAGCGAAGCGATGTTAAGCGAATCCAATTACGTTACAGTAGTTACCTACTAGCAGTCGGCAGCCAAATAACATTCTAACTGAACATTGTACAACTTTAAATGAATATGTTCTCTTGTAGATCAGCAGTGGCTTTTAACCAGTATAATCAGCCTTCCATATATCAGGCCGGGGGGGGGGGGTTGTTTATATCTTAATACACTGTTTTGCGTGTAAAAGTATAAATATATATTCAGTATTGGGATTAAAAGAAATCTACACATCAAAAGAATAAAACAAAAAGGCATGCATTGTATGACCTAGCTACGCTGAGTAATAAAAGAATTCAGAACTACATTTATACTTGTGGTGGAAAGGATATATTTTAATTTGAAATAAAATGTTAAAATACTGACTTTTTAATAACCAGATATTGGTCTTTCCTTCATATGTTTGCCATATACTTTAGACACCATGTTGTTTTGCTTTCAGGGGCAGAAGAATGTCGACAAAACAGGGAGCCACTTATATGCCCCCTTTGCAGATCTAAATGGAGATCACATGATTTCTATAGGTAAGTATTTAATGGCCATAGTGAATCTTCCATTTAAAGGCATTTAGTTAAGTGTACAGAACTTCTATGTTTAATGTGTTCTTCCACAGTAAGTGTTTGCTGTTTGTTTGCAGTCATGAATTGCCAAGCCCTGGGGATTCTCCTTCTGTCCTCCGTGTGGTTCAGGAGCAAACTCAGCAGCAGCCTACAGCTGGATCACAAAGGAGAACACAGGATAGCAGTTTTAATCTTACTCACTATGGGGTTCAGCAGATCCCTTCAGTCTATAAAGATTTAGCTGAGCCGTGGATTCAGGTAATGTTAGTTTGTCATCTTGATATATTTTCCTATCTTTTCGCTACTCGGAGCCACTTGTGCTTGGACTTATTCCATTTTCAGGGGACCCAACTCTATATTTCTTTGTGAATTGACAAGAGGAAGATGCTTTGCATATTATTGCTTGTGCTAATTCTCTAGTGCATACTCACCACTAGAACTTCGCTCTCCTTCTCAAGCCTATTTTGTTCATGTAGTTTCATCTCTCTTGGAAAAAAAGAAAATAATATGAGAAATTACCTGGTAATGCCCACCAGCATCCATGACAATTATTTCTTTTGACTATGTCTGAAAAGGATTATATCCTCATATGGTACTGAAGTTACTAAATAAACCACTCGGTAATACAGAGAAAATTAACGATGAGAATCTTACAAAATAGTCATTGTAATCTTCTCTCACACGCACAAGTTTTGTACCTGGTGCAATCCTAAAGCATCTTATGGAGAGAGTTTTCTGAACCATATGGTTAATAAGTTCAATTTTCATTAAAAATATTTCTTAGTTTTGTTTTCAGTGTTTAAGTTTGGAAAATCTCAAAAGCTCTGCTTCATTGTCATATACAAGAAAGTGTTACATCCAAAAGCACAGTGAACATTAATAGATACCCTTTTTCATAGCAGATGCTGCATAGCTAAGTGCTGAAGGGTTAGGTGGCCAGTCTGCTCTTCTCTCTAAAGATGGAATTAGTTTATCATGGAAAGCTGTCTGGGGAACTTGCACTGCCACTGTCATTGCTGCACCTGTTTTCTGCAGAAAGGATTGTCATGCTGAATGCTACATAGAAGGAAACAGTTATTGAAATTACTAGCATTCTTCCTTCACTACCTATTGTAGCAGTTAGTAAATGGTTTCAGATTATGCTATAGTTTCAAAAAACAGTTGGGGCAGAAATCAGTACAGTAAAATCTGTTATCTGGCATGAGTTGGAGAATGCCAACTGCCTGTTGTGTAAAAATTCAGGATAGCTAAAAATACTGGGAGGGAGGGTGAGGCAGGGCTTGCATGTGGTGGCAGCGCAGAGTGGTGGATAGTGGTAGTGTGGGGTGGTTGCACTTGGTGGCGTGGGGTGGTGCATAGCGGCATGGTGCTGGTTAATAGAGTATTCTGGCTAGTAGAATGCAGGATAACTGGGATTTTACTGTATTTTTTTTTAAATAAGTGAAATCTTTTGAAAAGCCAGTGCAGTAATACATATATTGTATTTTGCCTTATCTTTATAAAAGGTTATTGTATTTTTAAAAGTATGCAGTACAGCTGGTATTTGTTCTTAGAAACCATTTAAGACAAGATTTTTAACTTGAAATGTTATTTCTTGAAATACTTAAATACTTGAGCTCGTAATATTGTGACCTGGCACCACATCAAATGGAGTGTGTTTACTATTACTAGGTATTTGGAATGGAGTTAGTTGGCTGCTTGTTTTCTCGAAACTGGAATATACGAGAAATGGCACTTAGACGTCTTTCCCATGATGTTAGTGGTGCTCTGTTACTGGCTAATGGTGAAAGCACTGGAAATTCTGGAAGCAATGGGAACAACACAAGTGCTGGAGCTCTGGGAGCAGCTAGTGGGTCATCTCAGACCACTATCTCAGGAGATGTTGTAGTGGAATCCTGCTGCAGTGTGCTGTCTATGGTCTGTGCTGACCCTGTCTACAAAGTGTATGTTGCTGCTTTAGTAAGTAACTCTTTACTTTACCATATTTTGGCATTTTTGTGAAGTTGCTTGGCCACCTAGTTTTTCAGAGTTACTAAGCACGCTTAACCCCTACCCACGTCTATGCAAACTGTTGATTCCCAGCACAACTGAAAGGCCCATTTAGTGATCAAGCACTTTCTTAAAAGGAACTGAGCAAACACCTCAGCAAATATAAATTGGCATAGTTTGACTAACTTTACTAACTGAGAAACTGTCCAAATAATCTCAGATGTTAGGCAAAATGATTGGACCTATTAGTGCTGCTGATATTAACGATATTGGTAGAACAAGAATCAAACACGTCATATGGAATGCAAGATTGAGTCATTTTAATACTAATGAAGTAGGTTGAAAGGTTGCATACTTTAAAATATTAATGATGCATGCATGTGCACTCTGTTTTATGTATTTAAACCTATTTATAATGTTTTCCTTAAGAGATTTGAGTGCAGTTGACCTGATTTAATACCTCTCTCCTTCCCTTCTCTTAGAAAACATTAAGAGCCATGCTGGTATATACTCCTTGTTATACTTTGGCAGAGAGGACAAAACTACAGCGACTTCTCAAACCAGTTGTAGAGACCATATTAGTTAAATGTGCAGATGCCAACAGGTATGGGCTTTGATTCATTCCAGACTCATTTAAGGTCTTTATTGACAACTCAGTCTTTTAAAACTTCAATCAGTACAACATCATGGGCAAGCAAAGAGCTCTCAAACTCTTGGTTGCAGGAGGGGTTGATCATGGCTAAACAGGCCATAGAATATTTTGTTTTAGGCCATTGAAGTTTTGTTCAAATGCTCATTTAGTGGTGAGAGAGCACCGTAGATATAATTATTTTAGAATTGTTCCATGATATTTTTTTTTTTACTAAAGTACTTGGCTACTGAGGGGCTAATGCTCAACTTTCTTACTGTCTTTATATGGCCTACCTTTTACTCACTTTTTGTCACAAATGTACATTTTTGTCAGTCTCCTCTTTTGCTGTCTTTTCCCATACCTCCAGTTATTTAGTGGCTAATACTTGGAACTTCCACTGAGATTCTTTACCAGTCTGGTTCTTAATATTCTTGCAGTAGTGTCACTAAATTATTGTCCTCTGCTCACTTCTTTGGTGTCATGCATTATTCCTTAGAATAATTAGACTCAGCATCAAACTAATTCTAGATTGTGACCTCTGGAGTATGATGGACTATTTTGCCTGTTTATATAGCCTATAACAGGGTAGGACCATGCTCCTTGACTGGGGCCTTCCATCCCTGTCATAGAAAATAATGAGTAACTAAAGGTTTCACAGGTTCAGTTATCTATCTGCTTGCATAGTAGAAATTAAAAGTACCAGAATATCAAGTGGTTGGTATTTAAATACAAAGGTTATTTGCATAAAATATTGGACATATCTGTTTTTCTGATGTTGTTAATATGTCATGCTGATGATTACATGTTAATTATCAGATGTATTTTAGAAAGGGTGTCTTTTTTTGGTAGCCCAGTAAGAGATGATGCATTGTTCCCCTAAATGTGAAGGGATAATACCAGCTGATCTGTGCTTTACATTGTTCCATAAAAAGTATTATTGGGCTTCTGGAATGTTAATTTTGGAACAGTGCTATTTACAGCAACAGTATTTTACAACTGTTGCTCTTCTTGGAAGTCTTAGTACAGTAACCTAACTTGTATGCAGATTGATTTGTGGTGATTGTAGGTGAACAATGCCAGAAGTTATTCTTAAGGTAAAAGTTGTGTAAAATCAACAAGGATGATGTATGTGTATTAAAAAAAAAAAAGTCTGTCAATTAATTGCAATTAATGCGTCAAATGTTCATGTTAATTTTTGTTTTTACATGTTAATCACACATGTGGTTTTGGAGCCTGCGCCTGGACTCTGCTTCACTACTGTCACCACTGCCTCCGAGCCACCCCACAAGGCAGTGGTGGCAGTGCAGAGGACTGCAGGGCAGCCTGGGTACAGGCTCCGGGTGGCTGCAGTAGTGGGAAAGGGACACACACAAACACAGACATGCAGCTGCAGGCAGCCAGGAACACAGCCTGGTGGCATGTAGAGCAGCTTCCAGCAGTTAAGTCTGTGGAGGGGAAGGAACATTGGAGGGGGGTGGGGAGGGTTGCAGTTCAAGGCCCCCACAGAGTGGAGGGCAGAGGCAGGGGCTGGGGTAAATGGGGCCCTGGGACCAGGGCAGATTGTGGGACAGAGCCATGGCTCATCCAGGGTCTGGGAGGTCCCACTCCCACTGCTGCGTGCACCCCTGGGGGAAGCATGGGGGTTATGTGCTCCCTGGATTTGTGCATGGGGCAGAAGCGGGCTGCCACCGCGTGCTGAGGCTCTCTGCCCTGCTGCTTTGCCCTGGGAGCCGCGCGCTGCCTGTGCCGCATCCCCTGATTGCCTGGCGGCGGGAGGCACCTCATGAGTCACATGGCTCTCAGGGCAATGGCAGTGGAGCACAGAACCCCAGCCTGAAGCAGCAGCCTGCCTATGTCCCATGCACAAATCCAGGGGGCATGTTCCCCCTATGCCTCCCCCAAAGTACACACAGTAGCGGGAGTGACACCCCCCTGAACGAGCCGTGACTCCATCCCATGACCTGCCTCTGCCTCATT